ATCTACTCCTAACGAACACCTGAAAAATAATGGTGGGTCAAGCCCACAAATAAGTTCTACTCTACTATAGTCCAAGCAGAGATTCGATACACGTATACATCCTAATCAATCCAACAATAACTAGTAGTCCGTATATATATATATATACACACACTAAAGGAACCTCACTAGACTATAAGGTTGTCTCAACCTGAATAGTAGGCAACATGCAAAACGCACAAATAGTGGGCATGAGTACCTAGACCTACCAGGGTACACAACTACACTATATCTAGCTACACATCCCTGGCGATATACGCACCCTAACCACTGATCCTGAGACTCAAGCTCATATCATGGCACTATACTTATATATATATAATCTAGTAACCATCCTATCCAATATAAATTAATTCTCTATAAGTCATTCAACTTGTTCAGCTGACCTGACTTGAATATAAGTAGGACTTAACATTTTAGTTAATTCATTCCCTTATATAAAATAGGTAGGACTTAACTGATAAGTTAATCCGTCCCCAGAATGCCACCGTCCCATACCGGTGTATTAAATCACACAATCCAACAATTGATGTAACAATTAAGGAAATACATCAAACATTCTAGAAATAACTATGATAATATGATATCAAGTTATCACATAATAGGAATGACTTATTATTTATTTAAGCTTCCTATATCATATGTCCTACACAAACTGAATCTTATACATGATGATATTTTATTATACCGTTAAATAAGCATTCTCCATATCCAATTCATCCTACACATTTAATCTCAATTGCTAAAACATTTTAAAAGATTAAATCCATTCGTTTGTTTAAAACATTCAAATAGCAAACATCATTATGATTGAGTCTATTTAAATTTATTTAAACCCAAACCTAGTCCCTATTTAATGTTCAGGAATCCTAGGCATGTTTCTACGTTCCATCGTTCCACAGATATGAAAAATACATAATTTAAACATGTAAAAATTCACACCAAAAATCAAATCAAAATCATGTATTAATCAATTCATAACACAAGAATAGACATGAACCAATTTCATAAAACATATGTTCTAATCCAATTAAACATGCATAATTATTTAATTTTATGCGTTTAATAAATCCTGGAATTTTCTAGGCATGTATAGAAACACAAATCAAAAGGAAAGAGATAGAAGAAGAACTTGCCTTAAACTTTCGGATCGAAAGTTACACTTCTTCTTCCTTGATCTTCTCTCTATAGGGTTTTTTTCCTCTTTCCTTCCTTAATTTTCCTCCTTCCCTCTCTAACTCTCTCTCTCTAGAATATATCACGTGAATATTTCTAACCCCCTTTTACAACCTATAGCTATATATTTATAGGCTAAATAAAATAACCCTAACCCTTTTCCCAATCCAAGTCAACTTAAAAAATAAATATTAAAATATTAAAAAGGTAAATAAAATATGTTACATATATAATTTATGTATATCTTTATTAAATAAATAAATTATACACATCCCATTATTTATTAATGGATTATCCAATAATACCTAAGTTACCATAATATTATAAAGTAACTTAAAACATAACACGTATCAAATCTATGTATATTTTTATTATTTAAATATAAAACATATACATCAGATTAAATATTACTACCCAAGTTAGCACAAAAGTAATTAATAAATTATCCATTATTTATTAAATGGATTATCCAATAATACTTAAGTTACAATAATATTATAAAGTAACTTAAAACATAATACGTATCAAATTTATGTATATTTTTATTATTTAAATATAAAACATATACATCAGACTAAATATTACTACCCAAGTTACCATAAAAGTAATTAATAAATTACTTTTCCTTTTATATATGTATATAATATATATCTATATATATATATATACACACAACTATCCATGGGTAATAATCCATACCCATCCAACCTCCCATCCAAGTAGTCCATGAGACCGAATTAGTTGGCCCATTACTACTAACCATAATCATAAAAGAAAAATAAAATAAAATAATAAAATAAAAGAAAACATTTAATTCACAATTTATCAAAAACCATTTAAGCACATAATCTAATTTAACAATTAACACATAGACAAATACAAATAACGCATAGACACATACTCAAATACTCAAGTAACACTTAATTCAATTAAACCCATAAGCAATTAGTCAAATAATCAATTAAATAATTAAAAATACAATTAAAACAAATAAATAAATACCGAGACTATCTTTTTAAAATTAGGGGTATTACATCATCTACCACCATATTACAACTACAACTCCCAATTCGACCAATCAAATGATAATTTTGATCATTTCTTATTTGTTGGAGAACAATCTTAATTTGTTGGAGAAGAATATTAATTTCTGTCTCATTAACCTTCTCAAGTTTCCAACATTCTTACTGAAGTGCCACAATCCAGTAATTCCCAACCTCCCAAAAAGCAAAGGGTTATCCGGCCTCCAAATTGGTCCACGGTTGAAGATAAGGCTTTATTTATGCGTGGATGGCCATTAGCACTAATGCGATCATCGATTTAGACCAATAAAAGGCAACGTTATGGATCCGAATTAAAGAAAGTTTTGAGCAACACGTTAGTAGTGCTGGTACACCAAAAAAAAATCATATCACCTGCTTGAATCGTTGGTCCTTCATGTAACAAATGATTACCAAATTTTCTAGATGCATGGCCCGGATCGAAAGGAATTACCCCAGTGGGCAAGACAATGAGTACAAGGTAAGTTATTTATTATTTTAAATTTAATTGGTAGATATTTTAAAGATTTGTCTTCTAATAATTATTGATTTTATTTTGCAAAGAGTTGTTCGCTAGTCAAAATAACACCAAATTTAAGTTTGACAGTTGTTGGAACATTTTGAAGAGCAATAATAAATGACATTTACATTGTCAAAAAAAATTGACATAAAAAAATAAATAATCGAAGAAGAGGAGTGGAATCCACATTGATGATAGTGAGCCTATTGGTCACTCAAACCCATTTACTTCCATCAAGTAATGTAGTAACAACACCAAGTTTGGTTGAAGGATCGGCACACATAGGCGAAAATGATCCGATGGATGTTGAAGAATGTCAGCGACCATAAAGATGAAAAGTAGCGAAACAAAGGCGAAATAAGGATAAAAGACAATCTGAAAGTCAGAATGATTTCATTAGCAAATTCGATCATGCAACAGCCCTTTATCAAAAACAATCTGAAACTGTTGAAGCTGCTCAAATAGCACGAGAGGCACGCATAGCAAATAAAGAAAAGACTAGACAACTCGAGCTTCAAAGAAAACTAAGAGAGATTGAAAACAAACAAAGAGCTGAAGAAATGTTAATCATGCAAAAAGATCCAGAATCGATGCCAACATAAGCCGGGAAAGCATGGCTAATTGAATGCCAAAATAAAATATTAGCATCTATACGCGCACGCGGTAACTCAAGCTTTTCACAAGATTATCTCAAGCATTACATATGATTGTTCTATTTTTCCTAGTTGTTATGTTTTTAATTCATGTCGTATTGTATTGTTTTTTATTTTTATTGTATTGTTTAAATTTATGTCATATCGTATTGTTTTTAATAATAAATATTGTATTGTTTAAATTTTTTGTATGATATAGCCGTTTAAAAATATAGCCGTTAGGAAAAAGTTAAACAATAAAATTTATTAAAAATTTTAAAAATATTAAAATATTAATATTTTTGGAGAGCGAAAATGCACTATTAGAGTATATCCGATAGCTAAAATTTGAATACTCTAAAATGATGATGTGGTTATGAAAAATGCTGACGTGGTTATTGAAAACTACTGATGTGAAATTTGGAGAGGCTAATTTGGAAGAGCCCATTGGGGATGCTCTAAGAGCATCTCTAATGCTCTCTCAGTTGAGCTCTCAAAGTCAAAATATGAGAGCTGGCTAAAAAGTGAACTCTCCAATGGGCTCTCATTTGAGCTCTCAAAATTTGAAATTCTCAAATTCACTCTCAAATCTAGCAGCTGCCAAAAAAAATTGGCAAGTCTCTTAATTTCTTTGTCGTCTCTCTCTCTCTAATCTGCAACGACAAGTTTGTTGCCATTTGCAAAATCTGACCTCAATCTCTCTCTCTCTATATATACATATGTTTGTATATCTAACTCTCTAGAAAATAGAGCACCAAACCCAAAAGACATGGCCAGGAAATCTGCATCATCACAATCTTCAACCAAGTCTTCAACAGCTGTCCACAAAACTCAGTCCTCTCACAATACTCGTAAGAATGATGCATCCTCTGTAAGCACTACAAATCAGAGCACAAAACCCAAATGGTTTCCTCAATCCTCCAATTTCCCATTTCTTGAAACCCTTAATTTGAAATCAGTCATGTAAGTGTTGTTATATATACAATATATATATATATATATATATATATATATATGTATGTATCTTAATGATTCACAATTTTCAAAACCCATACATATAAGTTAGCAGTTGCAGAGAGAGAGAGAGAGAGAGGGGGGTAAGCTTGAGAGTTGAGAGATAGCGGCTGAAGCTTGCGAACAGCAAACCCGAATTGGAACAACGGGCGATTGAAACTGAAAGCTATGGGTTTTGATTTTTTGAACAATCTGAAATGATATGCCGATATGGGTTTTGATCTTTTGAACAATCTGAAATGATATGCCGATATGGGTTTTGAACTTTTGATTCTTGTAAACAGATAGATAAACTAAAATATATGGGTTTTGAACTTCTGATTCTTGTAGATTTTGTAGTTTGCAGTTGGAGAGAGAGAGAGAGGGTAAGTTCAAAGTCAAGAACGAGAATAAAGAAGGAGGCGATTGGGGAGGCTGAAATGATTTGCCCTAAAAATATTATGTGGGACATAATGCAATGAATGGTTAAGATGGGAAGGTAATTTGGAAATCAACGGTCAGAATTAAAGTAGGATTGGGAAGCTAGAAGTGGGTTGAACTTGGTTCAATGAAAGTTGAGAATTGCTAAAATATAACATTTTGGATTCAATGCACCATTGGAACAAAATTGCTAAAATATAATATTTTAACTTATAGATTTGGCAGCATGAAATGACATTAAGCATGGAGATGCTAACATTCCTAAAAAAAAAAAAAAAAAGGCACTAGAGCACTCTATTTTTCTTCAAAATCGACCGTGAGACTAGTAAAGAACACACACTACAACGGTGGCTCCCTCTTATTTTAGTTTTGATTCCGTTAACATTTTAGGGCTCGTTCTCTTTGCTCCTATGGAATACAAAGACGGTTTGCCATCGCCGCCGCTTCCACCGTCGCCGGAGATAGCGACACCGCCGGAGGGCGGTGATGTGGAGGAGGACCACGTGATGAGCGAGGTTCACCTGGGCTGTCCGCCCAACTTCTCTGGACCTCACATATCTCCCTTCACCTTCTCACTTCCACCTACTTTAGGTAAACCCAAAACTTCTTTTCAACACTCATTTGCATTCATACTCTCATCAATTATATGCTATCAAACAAATTATCAAAAACAATAACAATCTGTAATATGGTTTTGATGATGATGAGAATTTTGTGCCTTAGCATTATAAATTGGATCACTTTATGAAAATCAAACCCAACACTAGCTTTTGTTTGGTTGACGGATTTAGTGGTAAAAAAGAACAACAAAGTAATTTTTTATTTTTATTTTTCGTTATATGGGTAATAGAGAGGAAAATGGTGTAGAAAAGAAAGTAAGAGAAATATTTAACTTAATTCACCTTTGCTTATTTGGTTTTGATAATTAATTAAAACAAATAGAGTACAATAGTACAGCATTATTCATTTTTTTTTCCTTATTTAATTTATAATCTCATTTTTAAGCATGTAAAAAGAACATAAAAGAACATAAAAAAGAATCATTTTGGTTTCCCTTGTTATTTTCTTTTCTTTTTCCTTTTCCTTCCTCTCATTAAACCTGCAAACCAGACCATAGATAAATGATAATGGAATCTAATTGAAGCTTGAAACTACAAAGTCTCGCGAAGTTGTGTCAAAAGAAAAAACTGTTAAAACTTAAAATGATGAGCCTTTGATGGAGACAATCAGTAACATTTAAATGATGAGTTTTTGAAAATTATCCATGTGAAATAGTTCGATTGACAAGCTGTTGATTAAAATGAGGATTTTATCAAGGCAAATGTTGTGAAATGTAGGAAAAGGTGAAACTTTTGTCTTTCCTTGAGTTGAGGGCATAAGCTTCAATCCGTAAGGTCATATGTCAAGAATTTATATTTCTGTTTTTTGGATACTAATAGAAAATTTAAATTAGAATAAAATGGAGATGAAAATTTATAAAAGAAAGTTAGCAGAGAATTTTTTTTTTTTTTTTTGGGTGGGTGGTGTGGGGTTCGAAAATGCTGAAAAAGTAATATTTCTGAGTGCTTCTACAACCGCTTTAGATTAATTTGAGCATCATAAAGTACCAGTAAAGTAATGCCAAACATTTGGTTTGTCTCAAATCATTGCCTCCCAACAACTCACTAATGGGTTTACACTTGGTAGTAATATTAAGTAAAGATTGGTAATAAATTGAAGTATACTTTCCCAGTTATATTATGCCGTGCAATGTCTATGAGGTATCATGTGAATGAGACATATCACAGTTACACATGTTTCATACATGGTTTGTCAATTCCAGGCTGAATTATACTGATGTCAAAAAATACAAATTGGGCAACAAATCACGACACTTTGAGCCTTGAGAATGCCCCCTTACCATCATTTTTTAAGATGAGGCGTCTTGAAAAATGCGGAAGCCTCACAATTTAATTTGGATAATTATGCTTTTAAAAGTATCAGTATTAGCAGACATTAATTCAATTTTTGCAATTATAGCAGCTGTACTTGTTATGCTTGTTACATTCCTCGCATCATATTTATATGTTATGATTATGATCTTTGACCTTCATGTCACCTTTCATAATGGATCTCATCAATATATTGGTAAGGAGTGTTCTTAATGATGTATTAACCAGTCTTGTATATGACAATGGTTTAGAAGTTGAACCCTTGGAGAGCAGATATAATGGTGTAGTTAGGCATGAAGTGACTTCAAAAGACCAAAGTTTTAGCTTGGATGAAGATGGTGATCTTGTTCTATCTCGACGCATCAGTAAGTTGTCATTACATCAATATTTTATGTCTTTCATCATGCATTAGTTTCTTTTATTAAAATATGTTGTGAACACATGCATCTTTTATGAGGCAAGCAAATAGATGAGTGGCGAGCGCCGGGATTCAGCTTGAAACATTTCTTCCTCTGCTCTGAACAGTCTCAACTATTGGATTTTCAATTAGGGGAGCACAGTGTGAAAACTGACCTGAATCAGCCCAGCTGCCCAAACAGGGGGCACCCAGATCCAATTGATTAAAAAGCACTCAGATATACAAGTCTGGTCAACCAATTAATTAAAAAGTTTAAATTTAGAAAACCTTTCAATTCATGCAGTTTGGATTCAGGTTAAGCCCTCGGTCCCTGAGACCTGAAAACTTTCAGGTCTGTGTGACCACATGCTTTTCTTTTTTATCTGTCTTTCCTTTTTATTTCTTTTAAAGAGACTTTTATCTTGTGTTTGAGCTTGAACTACCCTGTGGGTTGGTTCACGTTATATACTCTGCGGCTGGCTCCAGATTGGTGTTTTTCTAATATGAACTGGTTGATGTTGACTTGACCTAAGTGAGACCCATTCTTAGTTTTATGACTGCAATGAAGGATGTACATTATGATTCAAGTGCTTCATTCTATAGCGTTCTTACTTGTAAGAAAAAAAAAAAAGAAAATAAACTCTATAAATCAATTTTCTTTATGTGCAGAACAATCTAAGGATACTTGTGTTTTGAGCATCCAGCATAATATCACTTCATCAATTCCAGGTGTTGGTTTGCAGGTAGTAAATTGTTTCGTATGATGCTGTAGAACTCAACAAACCCTAAAATTCCAAATACTTGGCAAACTTCACAACATCTTATTTCTGTTCAAGTCTGTCTCGGGCCACATCTAGCATAATCTATCAAATGTATTTTAGCCAGGCTGACTAAAGTACTTTTGGTTCTTCACCCCCTGAACCCCAGGGTAGCACTTTCAATGTACATCAAGTTACTCCTTAGTGGACGTGTTATTTGGGGTACAAACTGGTCAGTTTGGTTCATGTTGGTACCAGTCCCACAACTGAACTAGCCTAGTTCAGTTCAAATATTGGATGCAGAGCCAAACAAAGGAGTCTCTTACAGAGCCAACCTAAATTGAATAATTTAGATTGTTCCACATTCAGTTCTTGGTTAATTATTATTAGGTAAAGTGCAAAATTATTCACCCTGAACTATAAGGCAATTGCACAAAACCCCCCTGAATTAAAAAGTGCCCCCCTTAACTATTAAAAAGTTGCATTTAAGGACAACACCGGCACTGGAAAAACAAGATTACAAAATTACCCTTTACGGGAACGGCACCTTTTCGTGCTTTATTCACTTTTGCAGATGACTGTCAAAAAAAAAATCTGAAGAACCAATAGAAATTCGCTATCACATCACCTTATCACTACCCCACCTCATTTTAGTGCGAAACACACCTGTCCCACCTCGTTTTAGTACCAAAAACGACGTGCCACGAGTGAATCCATCAACACCATTCCGCCATCGATGCCAAGTAAACTCGGGAGTGGCCTGGTTGTGTTTGTGTGAGAAGAAATACAGAGGAGGAGGAGGAGGAGGAGATGACCAGGAAGCTTAGTGGACAAGCGGTAATGAGTAATAGTCACATAGCACTGGCGGCAATGACGACAACAACTACCTCTAGCACCAGCGGCGAAGCGGCAATGAGGACGCAGACCACTTCTAGCACCAGCGGCGAAGCGGCAATGAGGACCACAACCACCCCTTTCTCAATCCATCCCTCACCACACTGTTGATGACATCCTCAATGACTCTGATTCATCTTCCTTGACTCATTCTTCACCGTCTCGCTCCTACCTTCCACGCCCACGCTTCCCATCAGATCCAACTGAAGTTCAAATAACATTTATTCATTTATATCTCTCATCCTTAGAAGGCACGCCATTGAAGACCCAATTGAAAATCTCAGACACACCCAAGAGATATATCGTATCTCTTGAAGATGGTGACCAAAACGAAAGCTTCCTCCTATTAAACCTCTTCTCTGTTCTTCAAACAAGCCTTCGTCCCATTTCTTTTTCTTTTCTTTTCTTTTCTTTTTTATTTTTATTATTATTATTTTTTTTATACAAGCCTTCGTTTCTGTATCCAAAAACACAATTGCAATTATTCATCAGAAAAAAAAAAAAATCACAGTTGCAATTGTTGGCCAAAATTTTTCCGATTGGGAATTTATGTGTCTAGCCATGAGAAATAATCCAAAACCCTAGCAGAGGTGAGATCGCCAGATGTTGACAGATTGGTCAAATTGGGAGGTGGAATTGTAGGGAGTTGAAGCCATGCGATTGCCAAAGATTGGAGCATGATCAACGTGAATCGGGCATCCCAGAGATTGAACCCCCCCCCCCCCCCCTTCTGTGTCTATATATATATATATATCGCTTATGTACCATCTGCATCCTTCACTCTACGTGTATATATGTATCGCACTCTGTACCATCTGCATCCTTCAGTCTACGCATATCAATTTGGGAATTTTGGTTTTATACAGTTAATAGTACAAGGGTAGCTTTGTCATTTTAAAATTACAGCCCTGGCATGTGTTCATCACGCGCCTATTTAGCCGGAGAAACCAAACGAAACCTTGCCGGTGGGTATTTTTGCAAAAATTTGGATAGTTTAGGATGTTAATTGTAAAAATAGAAGTTCAAAGGAAAAGAAGAGGGGGGGGGGGGGGGGGGGGGGGGGAGTATAGTTCAGGGTTTTTTTTTGCACTTTACCCATTTTTATTAAAAAAACTTAAAGTATAATTATATGAACTAGCACCACCAATTTTATAAAAGTAAAAATCCAATCAAGTGTTAAAATATAAAATTAACTTGCAAGTATAGGGTCATATGACTAATAATGGGCTAAATGAAATTGTTAAAGCCCAACGCTGTGTAGCATGATAAAGTAAAGGGGGTTCTCATTTTATAAGGATTTGCCTTTTTCTCTCGACCAATTTGGGGCAGCACTTTTTTCATACTTACAAGAGTAGTGCAAACCATGCAAGAATATAGTGCTAGTTCTCTGTTTAGTTGGTTTTACAGATCCATTGAACTGGACTCAAACTGAATTCCTTTCAGCGCTCCACAAAATGGAAGTGCAACCAAACCAAGGCCCCCCAAATACTGAACCAAACTGATGATGTTGGTTTCCATTGAGCACCTCTAATTGTAACTGTCTCAAACGAGTTCCATGAGATGATTTCGACTTCCTGTTTGGTGTATGTGCCATCACTTGTCTCTTCTCTGTTCAGGTGTGGAGAGCAGAATTGATACTAGCTGATTTTGTGTTGCATAAGATGTTTACATCATCTGAGTTTGATGGAATTGTTGCGATAGAACTTGGTGCTGGTACAGGTGAGTTGATTATCAGTTACTACTAAATGTCTGTTTGCTGCTTGTCTTGCTATCACAACATAATTATTCAAGTTCTAACATTTTGATGAAGATTTCGTTCTCCTAAACGGGATGAGACCTGCACAACTTAGTCTATATTTTTGTTTCGATAGTGATTCAGGAATACGAATGGCCCACATTTATGCAACAGTTAAACTCTTATCTAAAAAGAAAAGGAAAATAATGTCTTATCTTAAAAAAGTAAAGGAAATGTTATTTTTCTTTATTACATTTTTAGAACATTCCTTTGAAAAGTAGCTTTTACTTCATACCAACCTGGGTTGTTTCGACTACCACAAAACCTATGGATTATGTTCTTTAAATTTAATAAATGTAATCTGTAAGTGCTCCAGATTTTTATATCATTATCAGAATAGGATTTGGTTTTTTAAAACTTGACTTGATAAATTGAAAATTTTGATAGGTGCATATAAAAATTGAAAAGCTGAAATCAAGTATTTCTTCTCTTAAGAACCTTTATTAAACCAAAAATTTACTCTATTTTTATCTAACAGTACATGTGTCTTGGTTTGGCATAAAATACCTTCTCCTGTAATTCGTTTATTCCCTGATAAATTTTAGCAAATATGTTAATTCCTTTTTCTACTTTTATCTTTGAAGTTTCTTTAATCCATGAATCTGAAGTATTAGCATTTCTTGTATGACAGGATTTTATTTCACTGTCTTTATCAGGGTTGGTTGGTATATTGCTTGCACGTGCTGCTAAAACCATCTTCCTAACAGGTATTGTATGATTCAAATTTTCAATTAAGATTATATCTTTATTGTCCTTATTCTTTATTAGAAATGATTTAAAAATTTTAAATTTTAGGGATGAGATGGTTTGTAATAGAAAAGAATGGAAAAAGAGAATTTCTGTGGCCGACACCATTCATATGGGATTAAGGCAAGGATGATGATGATGATCTGGATTCACTATTCAGCATATTCTTGAGCTCCCTGTCTTTTAAAATTTGACAACCAGGACTGTGTTGTTTGTTCTAATGTGTAGTTGGATTTTATTCGATATATGGTTTCCATGGTTTCTTGCTAATTTGTGAACTGACTTGTTAATCTAAGCGCGTTGTTTAAATTTATTTTTACTTTTAATATTAATTCTTTGAACGTTCTGTTTGTCACTAAGAAGATTGATGAAAATAAAATAGCATTTGGATTTTTTCATTTTCTGGACTTGTATGGTGTAAATCACCTTCTGATGTTTGATCTTTTGGTTTAGTGCCAAAGTAGCTAGTGGATCCCGAAACTTTTACTTTTTTTACTTTTTAATTCGGTTGTTGTGTGTGTGTGTGTGTGTGGGGGGGGGGGGGGGGGGGGGGGGGGGGGGTGGTGCAAAATTTGAGTGTTGTGTGATATTATAGGTCATTATAAAGCTCTAGTTAAAATTATGTATATATATTTATTTATGATTTTTATTTTATATAAAGAGATTAAAAATAAATAAATTAGATATACTCAACAAAGCCTTATCCAAATATTTGAGGTAACATAATTCTCTCTCTGTGCAAGGCCATAAAAATAGTTGAACTGCACGCTATAATTTCATATTATCTCAAAATTCTCCTCCTATATTAATTGCAATATAGACCACATGACTCTTTCTCATTGGTGCAGTTTTTAGTCTTTGCTGCACATATGGACAAACCACTTTAGTTGATTTTTTCTCATTTTTATCTCAAACAGTGCCACATCAGTTGTTTGACCAACGTATACGCGAAACAAAATTTTAGATAATAACTTATAATTTTTCATTATAGAAGCAAATTCTTAGATTACTTCTAAATTTTCATGTAACAAAATGCTAAGACTCTGGTTATTGCTTAGATAGAGTAGAATGGTGAAACATAATTCCTTTAGCCGACCACAAGTAGTTGAGATATGATTTTGTTGAGTTGAGTTGAAAATGCTAACCGGAATTACTGAATTAGCTGTGGTAAGGTTATCTTTCATCACCTTCAAGCGGAGAATTAGTATGCGAGCATCTGTTAATAGATTAATATGTTCTTAATTATAAGCCTTTTGAACAAGTGTGTATGTGTCAACTTAAACTTTAAGAAATCCCACTTCTCACTCAATTTTATGATCTGTTTGCCAACTTCTCAGTTTATATGACCATTAATACTAAGTGAGAATGAAGAGGAAATGGGTTTCTAAATCTTCAGATTTGACAATTTGGTGTAATATTTCATTTATGCATAAATGAAGCTGATGAAAGTTCCTGTTCTAGCTGGTTGGTTACAATCTATTAATTTTCTGTAACCAAGATTTTGTTTAGGTTTCTTCTTATAGTAGATATTATTGTCCTGGTGAAAGCAGGATTTTATTTATGTATTTATTTATTTTTTGGGGTAAATGACACCGACACATCCTGAGGTTTGTGGTAGCTGAAAAGTTCGCGAAAACCTACAGAAAACACCCCGTGTTAGAGTTTGGGTGAGAAAGAATGATAAATTGTGTGTGAAATGTCCCTTATTTTATTTTTTTGATAAGTAAAATGCCCCTTATTTTATAGTAGTTTTTAGCAAAAAATATCTATGACATGAATGACTAAAGTACCCTTTTGACCCATTTGACCTACATAAACACCCCTTTCTTCCCCCCACGCCTCTCTCTTCTCTCTCTCTCTCAGTTCGTTTCCTTTGTTCATATACATATATGTATATGTATATGTATATGTGAAGAAATTAAGAGTTCTCATTTTTGTGTTCTGTTAAAACTAGGATCGATGATTTGTGTAGGTTAAGAAGGATAAATTGGATAATAGTTATATGATTTTATTATATGTGTTAATACTGTTAATACTTCTTGCACTGTTGCTTATTGTTTGTGGTGGTACAAAGGGAAGGTTGAGGAACCCTTGGTTGTATGTATATGATTGGTTGACAGAGCTTCTTTTGTGATCTGTTGGGGTGCGAATCTGAGGTAAATACAAGAAGAACGATCGTTGTTTGGATTTGGAGGTAGATGGAGATGAAATCTGTAGAATAGGTGTTGTTGGTGTCAATGCCACTGTCCTTGGCGGCAACAAGGATGATAAATTAAGGCTTCTTGCAGTCGAAGAAGGCGTCGATGTCAAATTGGCGGGTGAGGTCGAGTTTGGAGTGGTTTGGAGGTGTTTGGCATAGCCGAGGATGCAGCGCTTCCGAAGAGGCCGCAATGGCTGGCAATGAAAATCTTGGTGGATTTGTCCAGTGTATTGGGATCTGCTAGAGAGAAAATTAGGGTTAGGGTTTGTAGAAATCAAGCGTAAACAGAAATGGTAAATCAATTTTTATCCATTCTTGCTGACAAATTCTTCAATGGTATATTGTTCTTGTCCGAAATAAATAAAAAAAAAAAAAAAGCAAAGTCAAGTCATGACACAGCTGCAAGTATAAGCCAAAAAGGGTATTTTGTCCATCAAAATTAGTTGTCTTTGGATGAATTGGTAATTCAATATGTCAAAATTTTCTTTTCACAAGTCAAAGGACATGTAGGTAATTTTATAAGTGTCAGCGCTCTGACACCATGTCCAGCTAACGGTAGGGGTTTCAGTGTAACATGCAGTGATGCTCCAAAATTTAATCTACTTATAATTAAGGCAAACCCCAGGAGGTGTCAGTGTAATTTTTTTTGGTAATTCTCTTTTCTTGGGCTTTTGTAAATTTTCTTACACCTTTTCACGTGTCATCATATTCTGACTGTTTTTGGTTTGATCCTTCAAGCCTTTGGGATTAATGTTTTAAAATCGTTTGCTTCAAATCACCTTGTTGTTCTTGTCACTGTGAAGAACGTTTGATTAATCCTCTGAGACCTGTGTCATTTTCTGGCAGACTATGGTGATGAAGTACTTGACAACTGTGCTAAGAATGTTCATCTCAATTCTGGAATATTCCACTGCAAAGCTTCAGTTTATGTACGTGAACTTGATTGGAAGAGTACCTGGCCCCCTAAAGTTGTAGAAAATTATTTATCCCGAAGAAGGTGAAATATTTGGTTTTTGTTGATTGTCTGATTGACTTAGTTGAATCCTCGATCTTCCTTCTACTCTTTCAATTATAATATATTTCAGATAAATAGGAAAATCTACCTGAGATTGCGTGGTCATGTCTTACAGGTATGGTTGGACCTCATCTGAAGTTGAAGAACTCCAGAGAGCTACTCTGATTGTAGCTGCTGATGTAATTTATAGCGATGATTTGACTGATGCATTCTTCAGTACTCTAGAAAGATTAATGTCCCAAGGTCCTGAAAAGGTATGATAATAAAAGTAGAACAGGCGACAAAATGTAATATCTCTGATGGTTTGCAAGAATGTTTTGTGGTATGCTTCCCCTTTTGGACATAATGGGAACTTTCAATGATCACATTGATTTGGTCGAATTGATTAGGTCATAAAGGTTGCATGTTTGAGTTGATTTGCTAGACTTGATCTCTTTAAAGCATTGAATATAGCTTCTTTCTATATTAATAATTTGTGATGGTCATTCGTGGTAGTTTGTCATGGTGTCACATCTTGCATTGTTTATATCTGAGAATTTTTAGTTCACACCCAATCCGACTGTCTTTCACAGTTGGGAAGTCCTACATGTTACGTGCATTATCCAGGTGAGGTGAGTTTTTGTCGGTCACTGGTTCTAGTTGTCCTGATGGGAATGCTACTACAAACAATTGTATTCAAAATGCGTACTTAAGAAAAATATATAATTAACATCCTTGTCTTTTTCCTTGTTTTTTGTTGGACTTGATGTAATGAGAATTCTAATATTTGCTCATAAACGATTGATAAAAGAGTATTGTTTCTCTTATATCAGGTGTTGTACTTGGCACTGGAAAAGCGTTACAACTTCACTCTTGATGATCTCAATGTTGTCGCAAATGGGTATTCACTCTTCCGAAGTTACCTTAGGGTTGATGGAGGTAAGTAGCATATGTTTAATAAACCTTCCCCTTGTAACTCATTTATTATTGTTTAGCTTGTATTGTGGTTTTTGCAGTGGATGATGCAGAATATGACGGCCTTGAAAGTGGATCACGACCTTGCTTTGTGGGTAAGCGCATTGATCATACCCAGATTCCACAATATGTGAGAGAGTATGTCAGAGGGAATGATGTTGAAATTTGGCAGATCAAGTCTGGGAAGAGGAAACCCTAAATTAAAGTCTTATGTAATCTTCTGTAACATGCTGATTTGTTATATGTAAATCTTCTGCTTGCAAAAATTCTTCCATTTGGTACTTGGCGCCGGTTTGGAATGACTTTTCAAACGCGGATTTTGGCTTTTTGGGCTTAAAAGCTGTTTTGAGTTGTGTTTGGCTAGTTTATTTGAAAGGGCTTTTTGTTTTAGTGGGTGGGTACTAGCTTCTTCAAAACGTTCATGGGAAGCTGTTGTCCTTCAGTAAGAACTTTCATAATTTCATTTTTCTCCCTTGCCTTTCCGAGTGATCTTTCCTGGAACCCACTTTGTCTCTCTTAATCCATAGACCTCCTCTTACACAATGGAGTAGTCGCACCTTGCTCAGGTTAGGGTTTGTTCTTCTTCTTTACTCTCTCTCTCTATCCATAAATCTTAATCTTCTCTACCTTCTGCTTCTCCCTCAATTTCCTCCTCAGGTTTTTGGCTTTCTTATTTATGTGTATTAATGGTTTTGCCCCTTGAATTTCTTTTAAACTCACATTCAAATCGTCAATCCGGGTCTTTTTTTAGTAAGATCTATTTTATATTTAAATTTCAGAACATTACTTGGATGTTTTGCCTCTTGAACTTCAGAATAAATATTCAAAATTCCTATCTGTGCTTCCTCATATGGATTTTCTCTTTTGATGTCCTGTGAATAGTTGATCAAAATATGTTTTACCTTTAGAACAATTAAAAGTTTTGAATTTCTGTGGTATGTTACTTCTCTTTGTCAATTAGTCTTAAATGGTAGGGTAGAAGAGTAGAGAGATTTGGGTAACTTTTCTAGTCTCTTATTTCTCTTTGTCAATTAGTCTTATTAAATGGTAGGATAGAAGAGTACAGAGAATTGGGGAACTTTCCTAGTCTCTTATTTATTGCAATCGTAACAATGATAACGTGGTGTAAGGAACGGTTGCAAACATTCCACCAAAGCAAAATGAACTTACAGTAGAATAAAAAAGTTGATATATGTGCTTTGATGAAGTGTTTGTAACCACGTTATACTTGTAACGGTTACAATGAATAAAACAGCCATGACTAGTATGAATGCATGTGCATCGCTGATAATGGTGGGTTGGGTTTTGATTTTTATTGTTGCATTCTATGTTTATTGGGTTGTGGTTGCACATACATATTGGTTATAGATATATATATATATATATACAGCCACAAGCATATGTGTGTGTATATATATATATAGCATGTGTGTGTGTGTGTGTGTGTATAGTAAATGCATGTGCATGTGCATGCGCATGGCTGATAAAAAGTCACAGATGGGTTTCTCGAAGCCAATTTGAGTTTGAGGATGAAATCTTGAAAACGGTGGTGGAGCGAAAAGCATCCGAAAGGGCGGAATTACGCTGGAAAATGGGTCGGAACAAAGCCGAGAAATGGGCCGGTACAACACTGGGAGACATCCGGGTAATCCATTCGAGAAATGAAAAAGATCCGGAACAAAGTTGGTAAAAGGCTAGTTGTTGTTGTTTTTTTTTTAAAAATAAATCACAAACTAAAAAAGAAACCCCACCAAAAACAAACCTAGTAAAATAAGGCAAACACTGTCCCAAAATTTTTTAGGTGGTGGAAACCAACCAAGGAAGGAGAAAATAGTTGCTGTGGTGGAAGAATGAGGTCGTCAGCATGAAAGGTGTCGACTGGAACTAAGACGATGGTGAGTCGATCACCGCCTCAGAGGGTTGACTACCGTCGGTGAAGGAGGAGCGCGTGTAGCGCCAGTGAGATCTATGGGCAGTGATGCGCGAGTCAGATCTACTTCGCAGGAGTGTCGGCGCGTGACGGTGCGAGATGTCGCTTGGAAGTTCGTGGTTGATTGAAAAAGAAAAACAAAGAGAGATATGAACCAAAAACGGATCAGATTTTACTGGTCTTCTTCTTCACTGCTCTTCGCAATCAATAAAGGAAAGGGAAATAAAAATGGCAGAGCTCCAAATAGAGCCATAGAGAAGACAACGTAAAAATTGGTACAAATGATTTAGGATCGTTACTCTGATACCATGTTAAATTTAGGATGCGAAAATATAAGATGTAAAATTTGAAGATGGAAGAGAGAAAGATAGATAACACAACATATACATGGTTCGATAGTATAGTCTACATCCATGGATTAAGAGTCATTAAGGCTACATTTCTCTTGTTGCTTGTAATATTTGATGTGTTTACATTGTATTGATACACAATTTATAAAAATAAAGTTGCAGACAAAATGAATAAATTAAGTTGGAAAGAAGTAAAATTAAATAAATCAAGGAGGAAAGAAGGAAAAATAAAACAAAATATAATACATATATAATATATATTTCAATAAGAACTAGTGTCCATTATTATAAAACACTTTCCTAATAATGGGCACTAGTTCTAAGCATAAGTCATTTTCTAATGACTAAATAAAGATTGAGTGGAGGTATTTTGCAGATTTTAATAATATTATTAGTAATGTTATAAATAATAATAAATAAATAAAAATTAATGGGGGCGGTTACACCCACTTAGCCCTTAATAAATCAGTCCCAATCATGAATGTTTTCTTGTTATTCTTTTGTTATTTCATCTAAAATTATTGTAAATGGATGTGGGCTTAGATTAATCATTCGTGTAATCCTAACTATCTTGTTTGTAATAATATAGTGTTGGGCGTTATAAAAAAAAAAAAAAATAAGAAAAAAAAATAAGAAGTTGAAATGAGAATACAAAGGTAGAGGTAAGAGTGATTAGAAAATATATAATTGCTAAGAAAAAAGTGAGGGAAAATGAGAAGTACTTAGGTGGCGTAAACAACTTTTGAAAGGAGACTTAGGTAGTAAGAAAAGGAATATTAGTTTGCATAAACAATAAGTCAATAGAAATGATTTTAAATATCTAAATATAATAAGAGAAATATCATGTAATAGATTAAAGTAAAAATAAATAATATGTATAGCGACTTTGTTCATATAAGATTAAAAAAAGATGATGATGATAATCAGAACGATTTGTTTTAAAAATAGGTGTAATACCTACTAATGATAAACTTTATTAAAGTAGGTTTAGATGGTATGACCATTTCAATATGCACCTTATGATGTCCCGGTTAAAAAAGATAAAAGTTTATTTCTTAGAAGATAAATGATAAAAAAGACTATCAAAAAATGAAAATAATTTTAAAAAATTAAATCTTAGAGAATAACATAGCATATAATAAAAAATAATACTCAGTTACATGGACTAAAAGAAGAATGATGATGACCACTTATCTTTACTCTCTCAACCTGTCTTCTTTCGTCATCTGGTAAAAACAAACCCAACGGCATCTACAAAGCAACAACCCATCACAAACAACGAAAGCAAAAACAACCCAACAAAACACGAAACCAACAAAACCCACCACGAAAATAGAAAAACAAATGAAGACGGAACCATGAATAAATTGAAACAATGGACATAGCAAACAAACCAGCACCGAATAAAACACAGGTTAAAAAAAGATGAAAACGAAAAGGAAGACAACTCAAGAAGACAATCCAAGAAAAAATTAAGAAAACACAAAACACGAGAGCCCAACCAGTGAACCAAAAGAAAGCAATCACTCTAACCAGTAGAGAAAATACCGATGACAACGGAGGACTCCTAGGAGAGGAGAACGATAACCAGTTAGAGAGAGGACTTGACACAACTAAAATATGTGAACATTAATTGAAAGTAAAATAATGAGACTACGACAAGTCTTATAAAGCAAAAATACTCTCTCAACCTGTTTGTATATAATTTTTTGTACAGGAGGTTGCTATCACATTTACTTATTTATTTTTTATTTTAGGATTTTCATTCTAAATTTTTTTTACTACTAGATAATTACCCTTATTTGAGAACATCGTGGTTTGAATTTGTATTAAAAAAAAAAATAGTTATAATTTTGAATTAATTATTTTTCAATTCTGAATCTAAAGTAGGCCGCTTGAATTTGTAATTGAATAGAATTTTATTAAAATTTTAAATTAATTTTTTCAATCCTAAATTCAAATTACCTTTTCCGTACTCCAATTACAACACTAATGAAAAATCAGAAATGTGAAAAGTGATAATTGTTTTCAAAATCACAGGTCTGCCAACCGACAATAAGAGTCTCATTACATGCAATTTTGGAATAAGTTTGGTCGGTCCAAAGACCGCTTCCATAAGAGAAAAAAGAGGAATAAGAGACTAGAAAAAGGAAGCTGACTCTTTCATTACTTTTCTCTGAGCATAGAGGTGGTCACTTTTGAATTTTGTATTTTTATTTTTGACAAAATCAGGGGATGGAAATTCAAATACGGACAGACACATTAAGTCACATAAAGTGAAAGCGATAGCGATAGCGATAGCAATAGTGAATTTGAAAATAGAAACACAAAAATAATAAAATTAAGTTACAAATAGTAGAACAGGAGCAAGAACAAGCGTAAAGCGCGTTCGGAACGTGAGAACGACACTCATTGAGAAAGATTGTGTGACTTCGTGTTGGGGATAATTAACTCCCTTCAACTAACTCAACGGTCGGCTATTATTGAGAGTTGAATCCCTCTTTAATCATATACAACAGAAACATTATCACATCACATTACATCAACACGAGCATATAAGGAGATAACAATCATACACATCCACGCACAATATAATGTTTTACATGATTCACCCAACTCTAGGGTTACGTCCACGTGAGAGAGAAATTTCACTATTATGAATTAAGGAAGAGAATATACAAATACATGTCAAAACCCCAGTCATTCACTCATCATCTCTTTTGAGACTACATATACACATTCGGTGATTACATATACTCTCCATTCTCCTCAAAACACTCACACTTAAACTCCTTGCATATTTTTTTCTCTTCTCTCTCTCTAAACATCTTACACCCATCTCCATATTTATAGAATATTCAAAACCTAATTTTTTATTTGAACAAATAATTCTCAAGTTGTATACAAAGAGTTATCGTATCAATACTAACTCTAAAATCGAAACTCAATGAGACAAATTCCTTTAGATCGGTTGAGAGGGCTGTGCGTTATACAAATTAAGTCGATGCCCACTTTTGATCCAATATTTTACAAGTCTAGTTGCTGAAAAAACCAGTCCATTAAGGGGACCTAACTATTGAAAACTTGAACAAATCACAGGGTCAGAGGGCTGATCATATGATTTATATGTAAGATTATTTATTTAATTGTGACCCAAATATTCAAACCTAATTTTTTATTTGAACAAATAATTCTCAAGTTGTATACAAAGAGTTATCGTATCAATACTAACTCTAAAATCGAAACTCAATGAGACAAATTCCTTTAGATCGGTTGAGAGGGCTGTGCGTTATACAAATTAAGTCGATGCCCACTTTTGATCCAATATTTTACAAGTCTAGTTGCTGAAAAAACCAGTCCATTAAGGGGACCTAACTATTGAAAACTTGAACAAATCACAGGGTCAGAGGGCTGATCATATGATTTATATGTAAGATTATTTATTTAATTGTGACCCACATGATTTAGACATGTAACATATTATTTGGTGGCTAAGTAAATAGATTTTAATTAATTATTCTTGATCAATTTATAATTACTTTTTTGGTAATTACTTATGGAGAAGTGTTTTCCTTCTAATTCCTTACTTTGATGGAAAGTAAAATTATAATATTAAAAGGAAAACTGGTCCTCTCTCTGCCTTTATGACAACATGTAAAAGGTTATTGGGTGTAAAATGCCAAGAGAGAGAAACCAGTTTCCACCTTTGTCTATTGATCAGAGTTGTAGATTGGATAGTGATTAAAGGATCTGGATATTGGATTTAATCTCAACAAGGTTTGATATCATGAATCAAGGTATGTATATCTAACTATATTTATTTATGTTTTATAAGGATGTGAAATTAATTGAAGTTCTAAGATTTAGGGTTTTATAATAATTTATGATTAAAATCTAACACAAATTTAATTAGAGTTTACATGTGATATCAGAATCAGTAATTTTGGAACTCATTATTTTTCCATTATTCTTACATAAATAATATGTGTAGAGTTTAAATTAAAATTAAATAATCAAATACTTTTAATTTATTGTATTCGAACATGCTTTAATAAACAAATCTGATTAAAAATTTTAATTCTGTACAGTAGCGTTTTTTCTTATGAGGATTTACGGATCTGTTTGCATTGATCAGTTATGTTGTCTTATGTTAAATTATGTGCCTTAAATTCCGTATTTTCATGAATAAATGAAAGTCACGTGCATATATACTGATCTGTTTACATAAATAATGTTTGTATCAGTTTTGATAAGATTTTGTTGCCATTATTGTTTGCCTTGATTTTCGAACCTAATGAATCGTTGATAGTTACTATATATATATATATATATATATATATAATGAGACAAATAAAGCCGGATTACAATTTCCTACATAATTTGTATTGAGAATGATAGATTAGTGAAGATTCCGTTGCGAAAACCGAGGTTGCTAGGTAGTAATAATGTTTTGTTTCTTTTTTGGTTTTGTTTCGCACATAATTGAATATATGTTTATTAATATACTTTACAGTACATATCTACAAAATTTTTAGACACCTACTAACAATTTAATTAATTAGTTTTGTAAATTATGTATACATAATGTGGTGGGTAATTTAATGCAGAATTTATCACTAGATAATTAAATATTCATATTATAGAAAGGTTAGTAGCTACCAAAGTGGCCTAACCATAAAGATTAATGAATATTAATTTTAGTGGTAGACATAATTGCAATATTTTATGAATAATGACGCTTATAATTTTTTGTAAAATTCATGAATATTGGGTTTATTCAATTATTAGAAATAATTCCTCAAAGGGAATTAATTTTCGAGTGATTAAATAAACATTAAGGGGTTGTATGTAATTTTTAATTGGGTAGATATAGGATATCCAAAGGTAACTTGTTATTTAATTAATTAGTGCATCACCAATGAAGCTATATATAAATAAATACATCTAAGCATCATATTTTTTAGTATTTTGTGGTTACTACCCAAAGGGGTACCATAGTTATACAATGTATTTATTTATTTATTTTTATATGTGTTGTTATCCCAAAGTATTAATGTTATGAGCATTTACCTTATTATGATTATTTTATTGCAGTATTTCTTCCTGTTTCAGTGAATTCGCGTGCTTCATCTGTTCCAATTCTCAATGTGACGAACTTCTCAGAATGATATGAGCAAGTTCGGTTCAACTTAGGTGTGCTAGATCTTGATTTAACATTTCAAATTGAGAAACCTACTGCTATTACTGGTGAAAGCAGTGAGGAAGAAAAGTCTCTCCATAAAGTTTGGGTGAAATCGAACAAATTGAATATTATGTTTATGCGAATGACTATTGCAAACAATATCAAAACAACTCTTCCCCAAACTGATAGTGCTAAGGAATATTTGAAAAATATTGAAGAACGTTTCCGTACTGCAGATAAGTCTCTTGCAGGGAAATTAATGACTAACCTCACTACTATGCGTTTTGATGGTACTCGTAGTATGCATGAGCATGTTCTTGACATGACCAATCTTGTTGCGAAATTGAAAACTTTAGGGATGAATGTGAATGAGACTTTTCTCGTTCAATTTATTCTCAATTCCTTACCTACTCAGTATGGCCATTTCAAATTCACTATAACACTATTAAGGACAAGTGGAATGTGAATGAATTGGCCAGTATGTTAGTTCAAGAGGAAGGAAGGCTTAAGCAACAAGATAATCATAATGTTCATCTCCTGACTCAAGAAGCTAGAAAGAAATTTGGGAAAAGGCCTGGAAAAGGCATTAAGCGAGCAACACCCCAAATAAAGAATTCTGATCAAGCTACTCAAAAGAAGGAACGCAAGAATAATAAGTGTCATTTTTGTAACAAATCTGGACACTTTCAGAAAGATTGCATGAAACGTAAAGAATGGTTCGAAAAGAAGGGTAAGCCTTTGGCTTTTGTATGTTTTGAATCAAACTTAATTGAAATTCCTTCTAATATTTGGTGGGTTGATTCAGGCTCTAATGTTCATATTTCCAAAACGATGCAGGGATTCCTTTTAACCCAAACCACAAATCCAAATGATGATTTCTTGTTCACAGGGAATAGGGAGAAAATTCCAGTTGAAGCCATTGGGACATTTCATTTAGTTTTAGATAGTGGATTTTATTTAGATTTGTTTAAAACTCTTTATGTTCCTTCAATTTCCCGTAATTTGATTTCTTTGTCCAAACTTGATGTTGATGGTTTTTCATTTAAATTTGGTAATGGATGTTTCAGTTTGTTCAAAAAATCCCAATTTGTTGGTTTTGGTATTCTTGTTGATGGTTTATACAAGATAAAGCTTGATGATTTATTTTCTGAAATATTTTTGACCTTGCATCATAATGTTGGAACCAAACATAGCTCAATTAATGAAAATTCATCTTTCTTGTGGCATAAAAGATTGGGTCATATATCCAGTGAAAGGTTAAAAAGATTAGTAAAAGATGGAATTCTTTGAAATCTAGATTTTACTGATTTAATTGTGTGTGTGGATTGTATTAAAGGTAAACAAACCAAACACACAAAGAAAGGAGTCACAAGAAGTATAGAGCTTCTTGAATTATTCATACAGACATTTGTGGACCTTTTGATGTTCCATCTTTTAGTGAAGAAAAATATTTTATCACCTTTATAGATGATTTTTCACGTTATGTATATATCTATTTGTTGCATGAAAAATCTCAAGCAGTGAATACTCTTGAAGTATATATAAATGAGGTTGAAAGGCAACTAGATAAAAGAGTGAAAATAGTAAGATTAGATAGAGGTGGTGAATATTATGGAAAGTATGATGAAACGGGTCAATGCCCTGAATCGTTTGCTAAATTCCTTGAAAAGCGTGGCATTTGTGCTCAATACACTATGCCAGGTACACCACAGTAGAATGGTGTAGCTGAAAGACGTAATCGTACTCTTATGGAAATGGTTAGGAGTATGTTAAGTAATTCCTCGTTACCCATATCATTGTGGATGTATGCTCTTAGAACTGCTATGTATATATTAAACAGGGTTCCTAGTAAGGCAGTTTCAAAAACTCCATTTAAACTGTGGACAGGAAGGAAACCTAGTTTAAGGCACCTGTATGTTTGGGGTTGCCCAGCGGAAGCTAGGATTTATAATCCACATGAAAAAAATTAGATTTTAGAATAGTTAGTGGGTACTTTATTGGTTACCTAGAAAAATCCAAAGGGTATAGGTTTTACTGTCCTACACATACTACAAGAATTGTTAAAACCGGTAATGCCAAATTCATTGAGAATGGTGAAATTAGTGGGAGTGATAAAAATGAGAATGTGATCATTCAAGAAGTTATGGTAAAAATCCCTTTACCCACAACTTCTAAAGAAATAATTGTTTCTCCAGTTGTTGAACTGCATAACAACGAAGAACAATTAAATGATCAACAATTCCATTATGAAAATATCACCACTGAAGATATAGAAGAACCACAAGGAATAACATTAAAACGGTCTCAAAGAGAAAAGAGACCTGCTATTCCGGATGATTACGTGGTATATCTACATGAATCTGATTTTGATATAGGGATATGTAAGGATCCGGTTACATATTCACAAGCCATTAATAGTAATAATTCTACTAATTGGATTAATGCTATGAATGAGGAGTTGAAGTCAATTGAACAAAATAAAGTTTGGGAACTCGTTGAATTGCCTGAAGGATTTAAACAAGTCGGGTGTAAATGGGTCAAAAAGACCAAACGCGACTCTAATGGCAATATTGAACGATATAAAGTCAAACTTGTAGCCAAGGGCTTCACTCAGATAGGAGGCATTGATTATAAAGAAACCTTCTCTCTTGTATCTAAGAAGGATTCCTTTAGAATTATCATGGCGTTTGTAGCTCATTATGATTTAGAATTGTATCAAATGAATGTGAAAACGGCTTTCCTGAATGGGAATTTAGAGGAAGAAGTCTATATGGATCAACCTGAAGGCTTCAGATTAGAGGGTAAATAACGCATGGTTTGTAAACTTAAGAAGTCAATATATGGACTTAAACAAGCTTCCCGACAATGGTATATTAAGTTTAATGATACTATTACTTCTTTTGGTTTTAATGAAAATACTGTTGATCGGTGTATATACCAGAAGGTTAGTGGGAGTAAGTTTATATTTCTGATTCTATATGTTGATGATATTTTGCTTGCTAGTAGTGATCTTGGTTTATTGCATGAAGCTAAAAATTATCTCTCTAAGAATTTTGAGATGAAAGATATGGGTGAGACATCCTACGTGATAGGAATAGAAATATTCCGTAATAGGTCATAGGGATTGTTAGGATTGTCTCAGAAAACATATATTGAGAGAATTCTAGAGAGATTTGATATGGAACATTGTTCAGCTAGTATTGTTTCAATATAGAAAGGGGATAAATTTAGTTTAATGTAATGCCCAAAGAATGAATTAGAACATAAAGAAATGCAAAATATTCCTTATGCATCTATTGTGGGAAGTTTGATATATGCACAGGTTTACATTCATCCAGATATTAGTTTTGCAGTTGGAATGCTAGGCAGATACAAAAGCAATCCAGGAATGCATCACTGGAAAGCTGCAAAGAAAGTTATGAGATACTTACAAGGAACAAAGAATTATATGCTCACATTTAGAAGGATTGGAGAGTTAGAGGTTATTGGTTACTTAGACTCAGATTTTGCTGGATGTGTGGATAGTAGAAGATCCACTTTTGGTTATTTGTTTCTTTTAGCTGGAGGGGTAATATCATGGAAAAGCGCAAAACAGTCTATTATTGCTTCATCAACTATGTAGGCTGAATTTTTAGCATGCTTTGAGGCTACAAATCATGGTTTATGGTTGCGGAACTTTATTTAGGGATTTGGTGTTATGGATTCAATTTCCAGATCGCTGAAAATTTATTGTGATAACACCGCAGCTGTCTTCTTTACTAAAAACGATAAGTATTCCAATGGCGTTAAGCATATGGAGCTGAAATATCTTACCGTTAAAGAAGAAGTTCAGAAACAACGAGTGTCTTTTGAAAATATAAGCACACAACTTATGGTTGTAGATTTATTAACAAAAGGATTACCACCCAAGACATTCATAGGGCATGTTGAAAGAATGGGTCTTGAATGTAATCAAAGTTAAGTATTATTTTTGTTATGGATTGCTTAACAATGCTTATATATATTTGACATTTTGAGCTCATTAAAATGTGTTTCTGATATTTCCTTTTAATTTATGTATGTACATTTAAATGACGAAAAAATGACGAAAACAGGAATAGTTTTAGAAAAGACATTATTGTTAGACCTTTATTGATGCTTCTCACTTATAGACTATGTTAAATGGGTTACTAGTGTTGTGGTACATGGAAGGGACCGTGTCATTTAGTGACATACAACCGCCACGACTCACATTGGTAGTTTGTTTACCATGATATTTATGATAACCATATTAATATCTTAATTTGATTTATGGTGCACACTAATGATTATTTTACTAAACTACTACAGAAGTTATCATATGTGCCAAGTGGGAGAATGTAAGATTATTTATTTAATTGTAACCCACATGATTTGGACATGTGACATGTTACTTGGTGGCTAAGTAAATAAATATCAATTAATTATTCTTAGTCAATTTATAATTACTTTTTGGGTAATTACTTATGGAAAAGTGTTTTCCTTCTAATTCCTTACTTTGATGGAAAGTAAAATTGTAATACTAAAAGGAAAACTGATCCTCTCTCTACCTTTATATAAAAGTGCATATGCTCTATCAATTATGTATGATTATTGAGACAACACGTAAAAGGTTATTATGTGCAAAAGGCAAAGAGAGAGAAACCAGTTTCTACCTTTGCCTGTTGATCAGAGTTGTAGATTAGATCGTGGTTAAATGATCTGGATATTGGATTTAATCTCAACAAGATTTGATATTATGAATCGAGATATGTATATCTAACTATATTTATTTATGCTTTATAAGAATGTAAAATTAATTGAAATTTTAAGGTTTAGAATTTTATGATAATTTATGATTAAAGTCCAACACAAATTTAATTAGAGTTTACATCATGTACACATGCATATATAATATACACGTATGCAAGGGATTTTCCAAAGGAAGGTAATAATAAGTTAAATGTTCTCCTTGAATACTAAAAATTATAAAACATTGACCTGATTTCACCAACACCGGTCTCAGTTTCATTGTAATATTTTGGTAAAAATATTAACAACAACCCTTGATATTAAAGTTGACAAAGACATTTTCAACGACCACCTGCCACATCTAACACATGCAGAGTTGATCAATTTACCATTTAACTTATTAGTTTATCATTTTAAATTTATAATTCAATTAATTAGACCAATTTACTACTCACTAAGCATTTGATGCAAAAAGGCATAGTACAACCAAGCCGCTAGTTTTGCACCAAAAATTATAGCAGTCGAAAATGCATTTGCTACATATATACTTGTCAAACACAACTTCTTAACTCAAAAAAAAAAAGAAAAAGAAAAAAAAGCAATACAGAAAGGGCAGACGCTTTGTATCATTTCAGCCAACCGAAGCTTTGCACCCAAAATTAAAAAAATAGTAAGTATTTTAGTTGTTAAATTTATTTATTTATATTTATTTTTCAAAGATTGGTAAGTATCTCAGTTATTAAAAAAGATACAAAATCTTGAGCATTTTTGATACATGACACTTACTTTTCACAATTAAAGTGTTTAAGTATGTCTATTGTTGATTTTATAATAAAGCTCTTTAATGGAGTGCTACTATATAATTTATAAGAGTATACAGGGTTTTATAAAAGAAGGGTTTAATGGAGGTATAATATTGTTTTAAAATTTAATTTTTTTAATTTCATTCATGAGTGAAGTCACCAAACATGTTTTAGTAAATTTTGAAAATAAAAACACTTTTAAGTGTTTTAATAATAATCCCAAATAGGATCTAACAACTTAGTGATTCTTGGAATCATTCTTTGTAAATTTTGGAATCATTCTTCCTAAAATTTGTTAATGCATTTGTGTACTAAAAAAAAATGGTAATTATTTCAATGAGATGAAATGAAGCGGTGGGATTGACGCCAAGGCGGAGCCATAAATTAAATTCAGGGAGACAGTGTAAAAAAAATAAATTCAAATAATCTCTACAATAAATATAGATTCTATAAATCAAGAAACAAAAAAGAAAAATTACATAAAATAATATGTTAATCAGTGAGTAATTTAAGAAAGATAAATAGTTAACAAAAAATTTAAAAGAAAAGAAAAATGAGAGAATTTTGAGAGGGAAAAATATTGGAGTTCGTTTCAAAAAGAAAAATTTGACTTTTTTTTTTTAAAGGAAATTAAACGAATTTAAAGAGTAAAAAAAAAAAAAAATTAGAAATACAAAATTTAAGAGATAACTTTAGAAAATAAAAAATTTAGGGGGGGCATTCTATGAATTTTCATAAACAATGTAGTCTTGACACGGTGTCAAAGTTAAGAATGCTATAGTTAGTAGTGGAGTAGTGTAACAGTCGGTGCTTCTCGGTTCAATTCAAAAATTTAAGCTATTGGATAGAATTAATACACAACCCATATATACTCATTTTTCTTCTCATTCGAATCTAACATCATCCCCCACTTAAACTCGCACCAACCTTATTACGGTTGAGCCACCTTGTCTTTTTAGGGAAAAGGGCTCGGATATTTCCGAGCCAGACGCTTGACGTGACATCAAACCAAATATTATGTCCAGTGCTTTGCAATTCAACTTAAAAGCTTAACCTATTGGTAGAAGTACCAACCCATGTACACCCATTTTTCCACCCCCATCCTAGGGGTGAGCAAATAGTCCATCAATCCGGTCCGAACCAATCCGATCCGTGTGGTTTGGTTCGGTTTTCAGATTTCATGGTTCGTTGATGGTTTAGTAAAATAGAAATCCGCTATTCGCGGTTTGGTTAACGGATTGAGTCCTAAAAAATCAATCCGAACCGTTGCCTAAATAATATATTAATATATTATATATATATAACTACATATATACAATATTGAATATACTTACTGTATTTCTATTTTTTTATTCATTATTCTACTTAGATAATTTATATTGCCTATTATTATGTATATAATTTACAAATCTATTGCTGTTATTTGGTATATGATTTACAAATTTTATTGCTATTATTGTTAGTATATTACCTGGTATATGATTTACAAGTCTATTTTATTTTTCTAGTTTTAATTACTAGTTTTTAATTACTAGTTTGAGATTTGAATGGGCCAAAGTCTAATTTTATTCGGCTATTTGAAAAGCTCAATCCGCCCAAACCGATCCGATCTGATCCGTTATTTCACGGATCGATTTGGTTCGGATTGAAGGTCCCCACGGATCGGTTCGATTTCAAATTTTTTCAATCCGTGAAAATCGATTCGGATTAAACTTTACCTCAAACCAATCCGATCCGTGATCACCCTACCCCATCCAGATCCCACTCGGGACACCTTTGACAATTAGTTACTAAAATAAGTTACCTTGAAATTCTCAGTTAAAGTAAAATCCCAAAGCATGAATGGCCCCTTCCTGAAATATTTAGTTTCAGTTGTTCTCCTCTCTCGCATTTACAATAAAACGAGGTCGTTTCATAACCTCCAAAATGTAAAACGGTGACGTAGATTCTGGTCATTATTGACAATTCCTTGTAGCTTAGCTATGGCTTTCGTCATTCTATTCGACCTCTGCTTCCTTTTCTCCTCTAACATGTTCATTCAGCACTGCAGAACTTTATCCTAGAACTGATCAAAAATCTCTCTCTATCTCTCTCAGACACACATACTCACGTACATCTGCAGTGCTGAGCTTTATACCAGAAGGTACAGAAGTGATCAGAATCTGTAAATTCTCTCCCTCTCTACTTTCTCTCTCTAGATGTGCAGAAAATTCATCTAGAACGGATGCAATTTTGAAGAAGTACCCAAAAACCCACCATAATTACGAGCGACAATTGAGCTCTGATGGGTTGCACGCAATCGAAGATCGAGAACGAAGAAACGGTGACCAGATGCAAGGACCGGAAGCGATTCATGAAGGATGCTGTGTCGGCTCGCAACGCCTTCGCGGCGGCGCACTCCGGCTACACCATGGCTCTCAAGAACACCGGCGCCGCTCTCTCTGACTACGCCCACGGTGAGGTCCAACCCTCCCAATTCCCCGCCTCCGCCACCGGTTCCCCTCTCCCGGGCTCCGTTGTACCACACACCTACGATACCCTCCCTCCGCCTCCCCCGCCCCTGAACTTCTCCTCTCCTCTCCAACGCGCCGCCACCATGCCCGAATTCGTCATCCCCGAACCCGATCTCAAGCATTCGGATCCAATAATAGAAGTAGACAATGAAGACGAGGTCGAAAATGAAAGTCACAACTTGAGACATAGAACTACTCGTAGTAGTGGTGGTGGGGGTAGGAGTGGAATTTCAAGCAGAGATGTGGAGGATGAGGGTTTGCCTGCGCCACCATCGCCACCGCGGACGCCACTGCAGAGTGATGATAGAACGCCGCTTCCACCTCCACCGCCGGACTCGACGTGGGATTTTTTCTTCCCTCCCGTGGAGAACATGCCGGGGTCTACTTTAGAGGAGGTTGAGGAGAGTAGAGTTGAGAGGGAGGAGCCTGCGCGGAAGGTGTTCGAGGAAAGGGCTAAGAGAGTTGAGGATGATGGTGGTGATGGTGGCGGGAGAACGAGTGGAAAGGCAGAGGCTGAGGCCGTCAAGGCTGAGCTGCCACCGCAACCGTCCCAGTCTGGGAAGCTCGTGAAGAAAGTGAAGCATGTGGCTCCAGCAGAAGGTAAGAGACCGGGGAAAGGTACATCAAATGTCAACTTAGTGCAGATTTTTGGCGAACTCGATGATTGTTTCCTAAAGGCATCTGAGAGTGCTCATGAGGTTTCAAAGATGCTCGAGGCCAATCGGTTGCACTATCACTCAAATTTTGCAGACAACCGAGGTATTACAGCTTTATCTGTCCATGTAATTGATGTTATTGTATTTGAGAATCTCAAAGATCCACATATGGTAACATCGTTAATGTCATAAGTGGTTCTTTTCAATGCCTCTAATATTTTCTAATAAATGAATTTTGATATTATACTCTTTAAGATATATATTTTTAATCCTTAGTGGTAGTATCCATGAAAAATCTGAAGGATTCAAATTGGGTGTAATATTGGTTATTAAATGAGTTCCTTCATTGAAAATTTAGTAAACAAAATCCAACATTGACAGCAATCAGTGTTTACACACATCCTTTTAATTTGTTGAAGCATACTGTGGACAGTGTTCACTCTATAGTCAAGAAAAATGGCTATATAGCAATGTATTGGTGAAATTCTTTGAGAATACCATGGAGAAAACATTGTCTATGGAGGAGATGCCACTTGGGCTAAGCCCATAACATTGTTATAGTAACTATTAATTAGACAGCCACTGGTTTTCTCTGTTGACATTTAAGTTAGTTTACCTTTTACTTTGTAGGACATATTGATCATTCTGCCAGAGTCATGCGGGTGATCACATGGAATAGGTCCTTCAGAGGTTTTTCTAATGCCGAAGATGGAAAGGATGACTTTGACTCAGAAGAGCAAGAAACTCATGCAACAGTTTTGGATAAGATGCTAGCATGGGAGAAGAAGCTTTATGATGAAGTGAAGGTGCTCAGATTTATCTCTCTTTGAAACTTTTATTCCCTATGCATCGTCTAAGTTCTCAAAGTGGTGTATGATATTTGTACTTTATTCTGAAATATTTAGACAGCAGCTTATGTTTGGCTTTAAATTGTACCTTTGAGCTTTTGTCATTTCGTTCTTCTACTTTTCTATCATTTTGGAGTAGAACTAGTAGATTTTACAGGCACTTGCATGTGGATATATATAATCTGGTAAGATTGTTAGGGCACAGTATAAAACTTTTGCTAGGATTGCTAGCTTTAGGAGCATTTAGTAGTAATTATCTTTTCAACTTCCCCGAAACAAAAATAGTAACCACACAATAACAATACTAAAAACAGCACATTGTGATTGTTTTCTTTTTCATAAATACAGTTAATTTGATTATTGTCCAATTAGATGCAAGTTTCATCCAATGCAATTGCAATAATACTTACTGTGCAATATTTGATGGCATCTTTGGGTATCAGTGAAAGTATCCACATAACATTAACATATTTGGAGCACAATAGCTTTTGTGAACCTAGCAACTCGGGAATTTTCTTTGAAGATAGCCCAATTGAATGGGATGCACCATTTACGGTTGGCCTGAGATTAGAAAATAGAGCCAAATGCTGCGTACCTTTGTAGGTGGATTGCAACAATTAATAGAATGTATTGACTTTCTATTACACATCCATTTGGTTTGCCAATAGAGAGGAGAAGGACAATTGAAGAAGAGACAATAAATGGAAGAGAAGAAATTAGTGTGTTGGACTGATTATAACTTGGGAGTCATTTATTGAGCAGATGCCAGAGTTCAAACCCCATTGTCTATCCAAAGAATGGAAAGAGAAAGTTCTATTCTTTTTCTACCTTTGTTTGGCGGGGATGGGAGAGAGAATATAGGAATCTTTTGTGAATTGTGAGGTGCTTGTACCTTTTGCTAATATTTTGTGCCTTAATCTGTTTTAATTCTCTTCTCGAACTTCTGTATTCTTTTTCCTCTTCTCCTATGCAAATGAAGCATAGGAAAGGGAGGAATTTTAAAAAATTTCCATTCCCTTGCTCTTCTACCAAATACACTATTACATTATATTTTTTTTTTTTAATTTTTTAATTTTTATTTTATTATTATTATTTTAAAAAAAATTCTATTTAAGCATTTCAGTGCCGTTTCTTTACAGTTCTCATCAGAACAATGATATTTTTTTTATGCGTTCATGCTTTAACTTAAATTTGTGAGTCACAATTAGTTCTCCTCTGCTAATGTTGTTCTTTGTTCTTCTCCGTGCATCTCTCCATGGATTTGTCACATGTTGTGTTGACATTGAATTTCTAGTCTAGTGCTTTTAGATATTATCTGCAATTGCACTGTTCATGGCCCTGTTGTTGGTGCACCACATGTATGATGTTACAAACAGCACCCTAACAGTACAGTTATAAATATAATTTCTCATGTTATTTCATTAGAGGACCACCTTTCAGAGTTAAAGATTTTGGATGGTTTCTTTTAGCAATCTGGGTCAGCTCTTCGGATCCTGGGTTCTGTTTTCCTGCTTTAGAGGACCACCTTTCAGAGTTTTAGATTTTGGATGCTTTGTTTGAGCAATCTGGGTCAGCTCTTTGGGTCCTGGGTTATGCTTTCCTGCTTTAGAGGACCACCTTTCAGAGTTATAGATTTTGGATGCTTTCTTTGAGCAATCTTGGTCAGCTCTTTGGGTCCTGGGTTCTGTTTTCCTGCTTTAAGCCGCAGCTTTTGGTAGTGGTTCCACAACATGGCTTCTTAGGTCTTCCATGCATATAACCAATTGGATAAGTTTCTTTTTCTTTGATTAAATAATTGATTTCTTAACTTCTTTGTTTCTAATTATCTTAAAATTAAACACGTCCTCAATATCTCTTTTCTTGCACATGATCACCATCTTGGTCAATTATATATATATGTGTGTGTGTGTGCGTGTTTGTGTGTGTATTATCCCAATGCTTCTGTTTTTAATTATCGTTTCTAAAGTTGTTTTATTTACCATCTTCTGTTAAAAAAAAAAAAAAAAAATGGAAAAGAAGAAAAAAGAAAAGAACCACTGAAACCTGGTCAATGTCTTTTGTATTCCACAACTCTGATGTACCCTCACAAAGCATTTGGATTCGGGGGTGAGGGAAGGAAAGAAGATAAAATTAGTTATCAAAGAGAGAAAAAGAAAGGAGATGATAGTGTTGAACTCTCCTTGTGTTTGGATAACAAAGGAGAAAGAAATGAAAGGAGTAGTAACTTTTCATTGTGCTAGGAAAAGATAATGGAGAGAAAATAAAGAAAAATATCGTTTATTTTATGAGTGGTAAGAGCAGAACATGAATTCACTTGGTATAAAGAATAGGGACAAAATGCTAATCAAGAACTCTCTTTTTTACCTCCATTACCTCCCATATTTGGGAGGATAGAGAAAACACTGTTTAATGGGTTAAGCCATTATTCCTTCTCTCTCCCTTTCCTTTTCTTTCCCTCATATTGAAAATTTTCTTTCCTTTTCCTCCTCATTTTTAAACGAAACACGATTTAAGCTATCCATCCTTTTCATTCCTTCCCTTCAATTTCCTTCTATCGAAATGCAGTGTAGCAAATAAGCATTCTCGTTTTTTATTTTATTTTATAAATACAACCGTCATCATTAACTCTCTCCTTGCATGGGACATGTACTTTTTATTGACGCTAATAAACACAGAATTTCTACACAATTTCTTTACTATTGGTGCATTCTAGAATGACCTTGCTCATTTGAAAACCTCTGGATTATAAAGCATTTCTGCCACTTTTCCTGTTTTGCATATCTTATTAATCAGCAAAGATCATCCTTGAGTAACACATACCACAGAGATTCTTTTTTCATGTTACCAACTTATTAGCGTAATGGCACAAGAGGTGTACTGAAGGCTTCATGGTTTAACCAACTGTAACAAGAAATTTATTTTGTTTCTCTACCCCTTTTCTTATACTTATTGTGTAATTTTTAGATTTTCCTAGTTCCTGCATAAATGCGCACGTATTGTGTCATAACAGTGTAAGCCTTGTTATTGTCAGCTGAACTTTTTTTGTGCTGCCTGTGCTTAACAGGCAGGTGAGCAGATGAAGCTGGAGTATCAGAGAAAGGTTGCTTCACTGAATAAGATAAAGAAACGTGGCACCAATACTGAAGCTTTAGAGAAAACAAAAGCAACAGTGAGTCATCTGCATACACGATATATTGTTGACATGCAGTCTATGGATTCAACTGTTTCAGAAATAAATCGATTACGTGATGAGCAATTGTACCCTAAACTTGTTGCACTTGTTGACGGGTAAGTTGGCTGTACTGCTTTCTGCCTTCCTTTTTCCTCCTGAAGATACTTTTTGATGAATTGTTCATTTTTTATCCCCCTATGATAAGATCTTACTTATTTAAATTCTGCTCTCTCTCTCTCTCTCTCTCTCTACATATATATATATATATATATATATATATATCTCTCTTAGGAGGCCCCATTTTCCTTGAGTACGTTGATAATATGTATCTTGCTCTTCTGTTAGACTTTGTTCCTGTCAAAGTAGATTTAACAGAGCTTTTCAAGAAGGTGCAAGCTTTAGGCTCAAACATTTAAGCTTTGGCATGTTAAGCAAGTGAAATTCAAATAGAAGTTCTAGATTGAGATCTCTAGTGTTGCATCAGAATTTAGAATTAGAATTAGACATTTACTTCATTTGATTCAGAAGTTTTTTCAGTTTTTTAACTATGGACAAGTTGATGCACAATTATTGAAATTGCAATATCCTGTTGCTTTTTGCCCTCAATTATGACTTGTTAGTGGCTTCTTTTGAAATGTTATTAACTTCTAGCAATTGTGAACTTGACCATCACAGGCTTGTCATTATTCTCACATGAATTTTTTGCTTACACGTGCCAAGTGTTAAATGGTCTGTCTTTTATTACTTGCACATTTTTCCTTATTCCAGTTCACTGACAGTTGTAACTATTGGTTTAAGGCACTTGTGTTTGTGTTCATCGGTTGGCTATTGCTTTCACACGATCTTATAAGATGGATCAAAGTTGTTGAATCACTCATAGGGATATCAAATTGACCTTCGCCAGTCCCTTTATTGGGACTGGTTCCAATGTATTCTAATCAGGTTATGGGAATGATAGGCAAAAACCCTGCCCTGAATACGTCCTGTTTAGTTATTTATGATTATAGATGTAAATTATTTCATTATTCTTTTTTAACTTCTATTATTGAAAAATTCTATCTTGAATTTGTTTACATATTTAGTTGTTTGCCGGTTGTCCCGAACCCATCCCAAAACCAAAGCGTGACGGGGCAGTAGGTTTGGTAATTTATTTTTCTTTATGGGACGGGTTTGGGATAGGGGTGGTCCATCACATACACCCCCACCTGCATCCCTTATCACTCATTGACTAGGGGAGAACAGAGTCGACTTAATCAGTGTATCAGATTGTGTTAACATTATGCAAAGATATGTCACCAATAAGCTTTTAAAAAAAAATAGTTAAAAAGTTGTGAAATATTTGAATTAAAAAAAGAAAAGAAAGTAACACAATCCGCAAAGATATGTCACTGATAAGCTTTAAAAAAAAAGAGTTAAAACGTTGTGAAATATTTGAATTAAAAAAAGAAAAGAAAGTGGGTCTATAATAAAATAAAATGTGCCATCTAAAACGTGTAACATTGTCTAAGTTTAATATAGGTGCTACTGGCGGTAGATTTACTACATAAAATTAGTTAATTTTCGTTTTTATATCTTTATCTTAATTCTAGTTCACATTTTATCAGTAATTTTCGTTTATCTTTTCTATGTTAACGCTTACAATGTATTCCTTCTATCTAGCTAGGGGTTCTTTCATGAATTTTTCAAGAAATTCGAGCCTCCAAGAATAAAACAAAATTAGGGGCTAATTGGAGTTATGATATAGGTAAGAGTCATTGAATGGTTTTGTGATAATATGACCAATAAAAGGGCTTAGCCCAAGTAGTATCTTCGTCTCCTTCCAAATGGAAGGACGAGGATTTGAGTCCTCAATTGGGACACGTGTGCGTATGTGATTTATGGTCATTTACTCCCCCACCCCACCCCACCCTGCCAAAAAGACAAAAAAAAAAAAAAAAAGTAAATAAAAATCTCTGCCTTCTGGGAGTGGGAGCTTCCGGTATACTTAATTGGAGCTGTGTATGTATGGAGTCAAGCCAAGACTTGTCTGATACAAAGATTGAAACGAGTCAAGCCACGACTTTTCCAATACAAAGACTTCTCATTGTTTTTTTCATGAAGCTGTACCATATCAAGAACTTACAATCAGAAGTGGCCAATGCTTTGAACCTATCTTACATTAAGTGCTGTTCCATTCTCATGGAACACAAACAGCCTAGGAAGGCCTACAAAGTAATGGAATCCTTTTAAGGATACTGCAGAGCTTAATCCTTTTGAACCCTTCACCATTTGTGCAGCAAACAGCTTGAAAACCACCTTGATTGGTTCTTTGAGTACATTTTGCAAGAAATCCGAATAAGGTCACCCATAGCTATCAGCAGCAGGTAGTTTTTTAATGTTAACACTCCTAATTGTGAAGTACTATATCATGGAACATAGAACACATCTTGAAATCTCTTTTTTTTTTTTTTGGAGAACGCATCTTCAAATCTTGTACCATCACTTGGTTTACATTTAAATATACATTTTTAAAACAATTACAGATTTTTGCTGGAGTTTTGAAAAATTTGTGTGCTGTGAACTACAGGATGGCTACAATGTGGGAGACAATGCGAGGAGAACATGATACCCAGTCAAAGATTGTGACAGCATTGAGATCTTTGGACATCTCCCAATCCCCTAAAGAAACAAGTGAGCACCACCACGAGCGCACATTACAGCTGTTGCATGTTGTCGAAGCGTGGCATTCACATCTTGCGAAACTCATGACTCATCAGAAAGAGTATATCAAAGCTCTCAACAGTTGGTTGAAACTGAATCTCATCCCAATTGATAACAACTTGAAGGAGAAGGTCTCGTCGCCTCAGAGGCCTCAAAATCCCCCAATTCAGACCCTCTTGCGTACCTGGAATGATTATCTCGAGAAGCTTCCTGATGAGCATGCAAGAACTGCTATACATAATTTTGCAGCTGTCATACATAATATAGTGCAGTTTCAGGAAGATGAAATGAAATTGAAGTATAAATGTGAGGACACCCAGAAGGAGCTTAACCGCAAGAAGCGGCAATATGAAGACTGGTATAATAAATATTTACAGCGGAGAACCCCACCTGATGGGATGGATCCTGACAGGGCACTGGATGATGAAGTAGTTGCAGAAAAGCAGTTACAGGTGGATATAGTGGAGAAAAGGTTGGAAGAGGAGGTAGAAGCCTATAAGAAGCAGTGTGTTCAAGTGAGGGAAAAGTCGTATGCAACTCTAAAAACTCGGTTTCCGGAGCTTTTTCGTGCAATGTCGGATTTCTCTGTTGCTTGTTCAGACATGTACGGGCACTTGAGGTCGGTTTCGCCCCCCCATAATCTCAATTAGAGCTCATAGTGAAATATGGTTTGTGCCCTATACAACTATATATATATATATATATATATATATATATATATATATTTTTTTTTTTTGTCGTTTGTTTCTATCAATTTTTATTGATATGCTTGTTTTATATAAACTTAAAAACATTGTTCTATTGTATTTTTAATACCATCGATTAAAATTATATCATTGAGGATCTTATTATTATGAAACACTGGCGTGTAATGTGCTAAGAACAGCAAATAGATCCAATACAAATTCTTTCAAACAATATGAATTGTATCTAATCCCTATCTAGAGTACAGTGAATAATGAAGCTCATATGGCCCACAAAAATTAGAAACTTTGTGCCCTGTATTATCAATAGGTCTATGACTTTATTGTGCTCACTGGCTTTGGAAATGGCTTCACCTCCTATTTGATATTGCATATATAGTTCCATAATAAAGGGGGTTGCAGTCATGAATCCATTTGAAAATTCACTATGAAATGCCATTTGGAAGGTGAAGGTGCCAAGGAAAATTCAAAATTTCTTATGGCAAAGTTTTCACTACAAGTTACCAGTTATAACTCAAATTTGCCGAGAGGTTTGGTGGAGAATGGAATGTGTAAGCTAATATGGTCAAGTTGGAGTAGAAGCTAATAACTTGAAGTCGTGGACAATTAATTTAAGAGTGATGATACACCTTCCAAATCCCGTGGAATGTATATAATTTATGTGAGTGAAGGTGTGGATCTCATCACATTATGATAGGGTGATGTCATGAGGTGGGGGCTCACGTTCCCACTTACATTGCAGAATGGAATATGTATGTGGTCAAGTTGAAGTAGGAATTAAGGGTTTTGTGGTTCAGCGGTATCTCTTCTATTTTTCAAAGTGGATGGTGAGAGTTCCTGTCTCCAAAGGAGCAAATTGGATATGAATGTGTATCTTGTCAATAATTACTTATAGAAAGAATAGAGTGCATCTTGTCAATGAAAAAATAAAAGAAAGTTGAAGTAGAAGCCAAATAACCAGAAGTTTAATGTATGTAATTTACTTGAGTGAAGGTGTGGGCTTCTCTACCACATGGTGAAGTCATGTGGTGAAGCCCACGTCCCCACTTACATTGCGGAATGGGATTTGTAAGCTATGTGGTTGAGTTGGAATAAAAGCCAAACAATCCGAAGTCGTAAACAATTAATTTAAGAGTAATGACACACCTTCTGAATTTTGTTGAATGCATGTAATTTATGTGAGTGAAGGTGTGGGTCCCTTAACACGATGTCAAGTGATGGAGCCCACATCCCCACATACATCGCCAAATGAAATGTGTAAGCTATGTGGTCAAGTTGAAGTAGAAACCAAATAACCCTAAGTTGTAGACAATTAATTTAAAGAGTAATGATACACCTTTTGAATTTTGCTGGATGTATGTAGTTTATTTGAGTGAAGATGTGGGCCATATTACATTATATCAGAGTGATGTCATACATGTTACCACTTACATATTCGGAATCCGGAGGATATATATATGCTTTTTCTTAATTTAAAGGGTTAGTATGGTCTATGACTAGTTTTGAACTCTCTCAAGAAAACAAATGGTTCTAGAATCTGTATTCAAGAATTAGAGTCCTAGTTTGGCTTCCAAACTAGGACATAGGGACTGTTTTATCTCCTTAGATTGCTGCTGTGTATGTTGATGCTGAGTTAATTTTCCCATGGCTTTATCATAGGGACTGTTTTATCTCCTTAGATTGTTATGCTATTATGTCTTCCTTTCATAAGTTTGATACTTATTCGGTCTCTCCTAAACAACTAGCTGATTTTACAATGCATGTTTATAGTGTAATAATCTCTCTTTTTAATTTATTTATTTATTTATTTTTTTCTCCCTAACAAATACAAACCAACAAAGAAATCAAAGTTCAACCACAATCCCAAAACCTATAAGCGTCTGAATCTGCCAAACGTAATAGTATATGGTCCACGATAAATTGCAACACCACGTCGCATTTCACATAGTTTTTGGAGAGTTTTGCCACAGCATTGACGACCTCGTTGCCCAGTCTACCGACATGATTAATTTTAACCGAGGTAAATCTACACACGTAAACATTGGACAGTATACATTTGAAATGTAATAAAGTTCAAGAATTATTTAGTATAATTTACCCAAATAAAAAAAGAAAAGAAAAGAAAGAATTATGAAGAAGGGAACAAGATGGAGGAAGAATATAATTAACAATCTTTTTCTAAGAAAGATGAAAGAAGAATATAAAGATATATGACCATTCTCTTTGTAGATATTGTTAGGGTCAAAAGAAGGGAACAAGATTGAAGAGAATATATAGATATATGACCATTCTCTTTGTTGATATTGTTAGGGCCAAAAGAAGGGAACAAGATAATGGATTTTTTTTTTTTTTTTTTTTTTTTTTTTTCATAAGCAACTTTATTCATGGAGAAGCTAGTCAATATCTTTTTAGCAAGTCGAATTCACTTTATTTTTTTAGGATAAACAGTTAAATATCAAATTTAAAAACTTCTACGCGAATGTGGAATATATATAGGATATTTCTTGAACCATTTGGTTATATATATATATAATATCTTATCGTCCAAGCACTCACATGCAATGAATATTGAATAGTAGCGAGCTTGGGAAAACAAGATTTTTCTTTCCTTTTATTTTTTCCAATTTATTTATTTATTTTATTTTTATTTTTTAAAATAACAAGATCAGAAGTTGCAAAATGAAAGACTCGTAAGTGTGGTCGCATGTCAGTTATATTTGGTGTCTTATTAAGCATCATGTCTAAGATTCGATTCACTTAATTACAAATAATTTTTTAGATGAAAATCAAAACTTTACTGGACTCGTGTGGGGATGTTTGGTGTCCCGATAATTAGTCGAGCCAAGTCCCAAATACCCCTATTGTGGAAAAGTAATAGTTATTCCTTCTCTTTGTCTTTTATAATTATTTATATTAATATTGTTAATTATTTTCTTTTACCCGAGCCCGCTAGATTTTTCGTGGGCTTGGACAATTTTTTTTACAAATAGGGTTGGGTTTGGGTTGAAAAATCTCAACCCGAATTTAATTAAGGTTGGGCTTGGGTTGAAATGAGTAAGTGATTGAAAGCATGTTAATTATGATAAGATGACAAGTATGATGTGCATGGTAGTGGCAAGTGGTAAGCACGGTTTATGCAATTATACTTTAAATGATAATTTAATGGGTAGTCGGGCATGGTTTATACCAGTATGTTTTTATATATGAAATGATGATGACTAGAAAGAAGATAAGATATTAAAATTTTAATTAAAGAGACATGATTGTATCAAAGTGTGGGTTACGGTTATTATATATATATATATATGTTCATGTGCATATATGTGCTTGAGCATGGGATGGTTACTAGTATGGTAGAGTATTTGTTGCGACATAGATGGTTGTGTGAGTTTTGACCTGAGTAGACGAGGAGGTTGGTTGCTCCTGGGTTGTTGGGTACCGGTTATTATCGAACAAATGGCGTGAACTTTTAGCTTATGGATTGAGCTATTCGGTGCATGGTTGTTCCAATTTTCTCGTTGTTTTTGTAGTGTGGTACTTGAGGCATGACCTTAGAATGATTGTGTATCGTGTGGTGCGGTGTCCAGGGTGACGTATGTGAGTTTCATGTGTAAGCACATGGGTCCTTGTGACCGTGGAGGTCAAGCATACTATGAGAAGTTTTTGTAAGATATGTATGACTTTAAGAGGTTAGTGTTTGTGACTTAAGTTATGGTTTGGTGCGGAGGTTCTCTTCAAACCAGCTTGTGGTAGGTATGATAGAGGTTGTCAAAGTTTCGAGTGTGGTGGATTGTGGACGTATGTTTCGGGTATTTTAGTGCGGTCTAATGAGGCGTGTTAGTTTGTTAAGAGGACTTGTTGGATTCAGTAAGTGTAAGTTGATGTAGGCATTAACTGGAGTCATGCCAGTGCCGGGTGACTAGCCGTTGGATTTGGTTCATTTCGTGGTCTTGTAAGAGTCTATTTTAGAGACTGGTTAGTGGAGAGGTGATTTCCAATGTGGAAACCGGTGGAGGTATGTTATGAGTGTTTTGACTCTGGGTGAGTTAATTGCATGGCACGACTGTCGAGTGAGTCCTGAGGTAAGGAATGGTGGTCAGTTTTAGCTGGATAATGCAGAATTGCACGACACACGCAGTTTTGGTTGTTGAAGTGTCCGGTTGTTTATAGATGAAGTGGTGGATGGTAGGTACTATGTTATCACGTGGATTATGTTTTAGAATTTTAAAGCTGTGAACTGGAGTATCGGGGGGGTAGTACTCATTGTTAAGGATCCAAAAGGATAGATTAACAGTTGAAGTGAATTGGGATGAGGGTGATCTCGTAGGTATAACAGGCCGCCCCATTTGACTTTTTGTCGGGGCCAAGGGTGTTTTAAGGAAAGGTGAAGAGAAAAGGTAATTGTGTTGACGCTAGGGTATGAGGTTTCTTTGTCTGGGTATGGAGATTTCCTTGGGAAGAGTGGTTCGAGTAACCGATTAAGTACTAGCGACTAATTGTTACTGTAGTTGGTTTTGAGGATACAGTCGGACATTGAACACTTTGATTTCGGTGCTCATTTTCTCTTTTTAGGATTTGTCAGCATGACATTGCCACATAGGGATTCTTTTTCTTTTTAACGAGTTAGTGGTCATTGTAGGGAGTGTCGAGAATGAGACATACTCTCGCACTGTGTTTGTATTATCTTAGGGGTGCTTAAAGGGAGATTGCTTGGCAGTAGCTTGTTGATCCGTTGGGATGAGAGGTTCGAGCTATCATTTGGGATGAATGGTAATAGAGGAGTTATAGTGTGATGTCTTAGTGCTGACGAGTAAAATGGTTTAAGGTGTGATCCGAATGTAGAATGGGGTGTATGAGTTACTTGTTGTATGTTGTTAGTTAGCTGATGAGGTTATGCGTTGGTCGTGGTGATTATGAACTGTTTAGTCTTTTAGAGCCAGTGACGACGGTGTTGCCATATAGGCACATTTTTCTTTTGATAAGTCAGTGGGTTGCTGTGACCAAGGTTACGAATCTCGTGTGCGCGGTGTTCGAGACAGTATCGCTTGGGATGGTATATATGTAATAGATGTTGAGGTGTCATTTTATGGCATAAAGGTTACCATTTGAGGATGATTATTTTTTAGTAGAACAGGACGCAGTGTCCGGTAGGCAG